GCGCCTCGCATGCTTAGCTGATGCACTCAAATGCGCAGAGGAGAAAAAAAGCACAGCCGACCAAAAACCGCGGAGCAAATTAAAATTTATTATTTGCAACAAAACGAAAACACTTTTGGGTGCCGAAGAAGCGAATGGAAAATGCAACTGAAATGCCAGGGAAGCTATGGAACTTTTGCGGTGCAGAAAATCAGCGAAGCTTGCGAAAAGTGTTTTTCTCTTACTGCAACTCTTGTTAGTTTTCTTCAAACCGAAAGTGCCAGGGAGTGGGACAGGGAGTACTGGGGTATTCGGTCGGTCGGTGGCGATAATGTGGCATGAAGCAGCCAGCAGCGGCAGACGGACGCCGGCAGCAGTGTTGTGTGAAGTGGGTTGCATCCCGCCGCTAGTTGGGGGCGGACTCGGACCTGACAGCCACTAAGCAGAGTATCTCTCCCTGGGCCCCCAGGGCTTTGACTTCCTGGGCAGGGAACCTTCAAGAAGGTGCAACATGCTGAAAGCGTTGCAACAGACCAAGAGCCGCGCCAATATGAAAGCCTCAAAGGTAAACAGAGCTGACTTGACAATAAAATTTGGCTTTTCTTTAAAACTATTTCATAATACATATTATTACCCAAAACTTGTGGTTTTAAGGATGACTTTCTCAATCGTTCAGTGCCTTATCTTCCTGAACTTTAACCTTTTTCTGCCCATCCTAGTTTTATTTTTTACGTGAATACCAGAAAACTGTAAAATTGTTTTAACCACTTTTGCATTGCAACATGCCAAACCGCAGAAATGCCATTAAATAATTTCGCTGCGCATTTTCATTTCGCCGAAAAAATAAAAAAAAAAACAAAGTGCAAATCAATGGACAAGTTTTTAGTGCTTTTAGGCATGGCTGTAGGATGGAAAAAATTTGACTCCCACCGAGCCGCGCCGAGCCGAGCCGGGCTGGCAAAAGGAAAACACACACAATTATGCAACATCTTCGTCGTCGACTTGCAACATCTCTCGGTAGACCAGACCAGACCAGACCAGGCCCACTCCGACCCGACCAACAGTTGCAGATGCCATTGCAGCAGCATTAACTGCGGCCTGTTTAAAATCTTGTTTTGGAACTGTATGCCAGCAACAAACGCTTCTTCATTTTCGCGCAATAAACTTTTCGCCCAGACACAAAGAAAACGAAAGTGCAACAACATCGGGCAATAACTGGTTGCCCAGTTGAACCGCTGGGCTTGGCTATTGCTATTGCGATTGCATTACGTGGGCCAGCTAGCTTTGTCGAGGATCGTTTGACTTTTAGCCATATTTGTGTTGAGTTATGGCGAGAAAGAAGATGCCATGCGGCATCAGCCGCCTGGTTGGGGCAGCTCCTCTTGGCGCAAAAACCCGTTTCACGTGGCGTATGAGTAACGCGGAAGTTGACACTTGCTGGTGCACTTGGTAGTGACGGTACGGCGCCACGGCTGTGGGTGAAAATTGCCTTGATATATTTACTGCACATACCGCCACTAATTGCGGCATTCATCAGGCGAGTTGCAACTTCCAATTCCTATTTGTCGCAGTTTGTAATTAGGCAACAAAAAGTGGCAAACAAAAAGAAAGATATTATGACAAAACTTACTTTGTCTCTAGCGGCCCTCCAGATTTTCAGTGGTTGGCCAATCCAAGCGACTTTTAATGACCCGGACCCAAACCCGGAGGAAGGGAAGCCATCCGGCAAGCTGCCTGTCAATACCCAGCGATGAATTATGTCGCCGAGCCCTTTTACTTTCTACCACCGATGATGTGCGTCATCTTCTTGATCGCAGTGGCCATGCGAAATTATTTTTTTACGATTTGCCTGCTTATTTTCCACTGAGCTAATTTCTGGCAATGGCGGAACAAAGTCTCTAGTTAACTGGCCATGTTAATGGCTTAATAATGGAGAAGTTTGGAGGGAACCATAGAAAGCGGAAGATGCCTGGAACCCCCACGTTTTTTCCCCCACTTTACTCCGCGGGAGATCCGCAATTCTCGGAAGAAATTCATATTCAACTTTTACCTGAACTTCATTCTACTAGAGGTCTAAACTGGGTCAGTAATTGGTGAAACTCGCCTGCAGGCCCAGCAAGTACAGAGGTACAGTACCCGATTAAAGTACATACATTTCATAATGGAGGTTATATCACCGATGCAATTGCAGTTCCCGGCAGCTCTTTCGGTCGCCTCTGCCCGATCAGGCATGACACTTTGCTTTCATTCACTTTTCAGGCCATTTTCCTCATCGAAATTGATTTAATTCTCAATCAGTTCGAAACCAGTTGGGTGCCCAGCAAATCAAATCACACCAGCTGGAGTACAATGGAGTAAAGAAACCCTCAATGGCCGGGTGTGATTAGCGTTCAATTATTTTATTTGTTTGTGGTTAGCAGCTGAAAAGCGCGATCAATGGGGTTATTTGGCTGCGATTCGATTTGGAGTGGCGCCCGGCTAATGGCAGCTAGTTACTGCCCTGAAGTGGAAAATTGGAGGGCCCCCATGAGTCTCACAGAGGTGCGATGATTGGGGGTCAGGCACTGTCGCTTGCTGTCTTATTCACACATTCCTGTTCTCTCACAAAAACAACTTTCATTTTTTAAAGCCAAATCCATTAACAGTTTGTCACTTCACCGCACAGATACCGAAATATCTTTCAGATAAATATGCAACCGAGCCACAATATTTATAAAGATCTCTCGATCTGACCCACTTTCCCAAGACTCGAAACCGAACAGAACCCGGCTCGCAAAATGAAATTACAATGAAATGCTGCTGCTGCTTGTTATGATTGCCGGTGTTGTTGTTCTTCCAGCAACAAAGGCCCCACCGAAAGCGAACAGGTTGTAGGGCCTGTCAGCTATACGGAAATTATGGCCAGCCAGCCCATTCAATGAATGCCCAACGTAAATCATTGTAAAAGACCGTAATGCTCGATACTGCCAACGGCCAGAGCTGATCGAAAATGATGAGTTTATACTTCGGCAACATTAAAGTGAATATCAGTCATTATCAGACCCCGCAAGGGAGGTTTACAAGCTGGATTTATGACTTTTCTAAGAGCCTTTCTGATTATTAGAGACTCAGTTATGTCATCAGCGAGATAGCCCTTGTTAAGAAACACTTGCAGAATTACTTAGCACCCATTTGGCCATTTTATTTGCAAAAGTGAAAGCAAGGCTGGAATTATAAACATAAATATGCTAAATAAAAGCAAAACGAAACAAGCAACAATTTGGCAGGCCCAGAAAAACATGTTCGAAAACACCAAACTGATGTTGCTGTCGGGATGCGGGGATACGGATTTCGGTTTGGAACTGCTGCTGGAGATTAAACTTTGTAATCGCGGATGGTCGATGGACGGTGGTGGGCAACAGATGTTACTGCTGAACAGTTGACTGCCCGGCTGCCAAGTTTACACGACACAAAAGACACAATTGCAACTTACACTACGTGAGGCAATATATACAAAATAATAAAAGTTAAAATTAAGCAATGGCGCAAACAAAACCAAAGACCAGCCGCCAAAGAGCTGGCAAATCCTAAAACAAAACAGAGTCTGCCAAGCCTGCGAAGGCAACTACCAGTTCCTGTTCACTGCCAGACAAAAGGAAGATGATGATACAACCGAAAAGCACTTTTTTCTTTTCCCGAACTTGGTTGTTTGCCCAAAAAACTCTGCAAAATAGAGGCTGGCCATTGGCACAGCCAGCTTGTGTCAATGGTGAGAGATGATGCTGACAGAAATCTGGTCTCGGACACGTTTTTCTTGCGTTACGGAAAAATTGTGCAAGTTGCCAAAAAGGAAATCGGCAAATCAACAGATGCACGAAAAGGTTAAGGACAACCCAAAATATAGTACAGATGTAGAGTTCATTTTGGGGAAAGAAAGTTATTCAAAGGATGTACGCTTTGTCTGGCTGATCAACGATCTATTCAAGCCAAATCCCATATCAAAACACTGCCTTAGGCCAGCAAACAACAAAGAAATAAATCTTTTTACGTAATACCAACCTCAATTATAGGCATTAGTTCATCCAAAATAAAGCTTAAACAACCAAAAAAAAGAGGAGACAACAAAGCCAATGATTTCACATCATAAATTGTGGCTTTTGGCCAAATCTTTTTGGTTTTTTGGGGTTTAGCCATGAAAGTGAAAACTATAACAGCGGATGTCAAACATGATCAGATTACATCAACACAGCACCAAATCGATGTATCTCGTTAAGGTAATAAATTATGTAGACCTTAAACTTGGCAAAAACGGATAGCAGATAATCCCATGGGAAATTCTCCAAAATTCCCATGACTCGGCGGTTTCTTTGGGAGATTGGTTTCCTTTTCGATATTTGGTTTCTTGACCACTCCAAGCGAACAGGTTTGGATAAGGTGGCGCAGTGCCGCCTTAAACGATGTCTCATGACTCCACTCTTATGGCTTTTACTCCTCCTTTGCATCTTCATTTAATCGAGTCCCCCACCTCCGCCTCCCGGAGATAAAAAATATTTTTGTGAAAAGGGAAAGTTCATTGAGGCGTTGAAAACCGTTTTCGTTTTCATTCGGGCCCAGATACATGTTTCCACAATTAATATTGAGATTCCCCAAAACAAATATTTAAATAATTGCATTTTTAAATAGGCCTCCTCCAGTTGAGGCGATCGTATTGGTAGAAAGTCTTATGCAAGTGTGTGGAATTTCAGAGATGAGGCTCCAAAATCTTTAGCTATTTGACATATTTATGCGAGTACTATCAACTGATGGCAACTTTCTTTGGCCGAAGCTCGAAAAGATCTAAAATCTGTGTCAATTGGATCGGAACAAAAGCCATTTCTGACAATGAATATTTGCATAACACTGAATGGAAATGCAAATCAGGTGATAAATTAATTTATTCTCCCTCTTTATGAGTATTTGGCACATATTTGGACACGTCTGTGAGGTATTGCCTTTGTCAGTGGAATGTGGAACACCAGACTCGAAAACATTTCAACACTTACCGCATTGTGCAGTCCAGCGTTGGGAGGTGGGATAAATCCTTGGGCATTCGCGGCGACCACCCACAGGCACAGAGTGCCCCACAGTGCCAATGAGACTTTCATGACTCACTTCTAGTTCAGAAATCCAATATTTATTCAAGCAATATCGATGCACTATTTTTTTGTTCAAAACAAACACGATATACGGCTGGAAATGTCCAAGAAACGGGCACGCGAAAAATGTCAGTAATTCGACATGGAAACAACACGACCAGTTCGAATAAACTTTTGCCCAAGTTATTTTTGTTACGTTTTCTATTTGCTTTATGCAAATGATGCAGTTTCTGTTTTCTTCTCTCTCGGGCTTTAAATTCCGACAACGTTTGAGCCGCGTTAGGGACTTGACTTAACCACTGGCCACTGGAGGAGTAGCCGTCGACACGACTTGTCTGGCGGAGGTTCGAAGCTAAACTGAAGATCGTTAAACGTTTGGTAACAATTTAAGCCAAGCTCGCTGCGAAGATGCCAAAAAGTCGCAACAGCGCTGCAGAAGACGCCGGCAACATGTTGCCAGTGTTGTGGCCCAAAAGAGCTGGCCATGCAAGCCCCCACTGGCCCGAAGAGAAAGCAAAGAGCACACTCGGCTGGCCGAAAGAGAAAGTGTTGCCGGCAGTTGGCTGGCAACATGAGGAAATGCCGTGCCAAGATCTTCGTCGATCCGGTGACAGTCTTATCGAACCCAGAAGTGGCTTATCCGAAAACTTAATTCTCAGATTGTAATTCTCAAACCGCTCCCGACGATTACGGCTACAATCACGTAGCAGACTCGGAAGTCGAGATAAGAATTCGGATGGGGGCGTCCGAGAATTCGAGCTCAGGCCAAAACGAGCCAATATTGTGGTAATACACCGTTTAAGCCATCAGACGTGTGAGCCGCATACTTCGGGAGCATGTAAACGGTCCACAGTAGCCGGCAAGTGCGAATCTCATGTTCATGGCTGCACTTTAATGCGTTTTATGGGGAAAACGCGACTGAATCATATTTTTATCATTTAAGCATGATTAATGCTGGGCTTCCAACTTGGTTGAGTAATAGGCCCAAATATTTGAAGAATCCCGCTGAGACTAATCATAGCAGTTCACTCTACGGGCCTAACTCTTTACATCAGTTTCATTGGAAAGTGGATGATATTTTCATTTAAATATTAGGTTAGTGAAATAATATAGGCTTTAAATTGTAGATCTTTTCATTAAAAAATACGGTAGTTTGATTTTCAAAATAAAGTAAGCTTCTCTATATCAGGCTTATAAATACATTCTCAAGCCTGGAGAGAAGCCATTTTTAAGCTTTAATTAAATGAAAAACCTTTAAAACAATTAAACAATTTTTTTTAAAGAAAAACTTTCGTTCTCAATTAAATTTATTAAAAATATTGCCTGAAAACTACCAAAGCAATTATCACAATACAACTTTCCCACCTAAATCACCCTTCAAAGCGATGGCATCAGTTTTATTGAAAATTTCATTTCCTCTTGTATAACAAGGCCCTTGGAAGGAAAAGCGCGGTTTTTTTTATCAGAGAACCTGCCAGACCGATCAACAAATAATTGCATTTCCACCTTTCCGCCCAATTATTTCCAGATCCCGGTGCCAATTCGGTGGCAACTAATCAACTAATCCATCAATCAACTCCCAAAATAGGCATTTCATCGCCGGCTTTCAGCCATAACTTTCCACTTTGTCGGACGCCCAGGAAAACGGAATGCAATCCCAAGGCCAATTACTTGGTCGGCAAGGCTCCCGCCCTGGAACGTAATTCTGAAACAGACTCTGGGAGCCGTCAAGTGGCGATTGCATAAGGCAAGCGCCACAGAGCTTATCAGGCTTACTTCTTTCAGCCATTCACGCAGACAATGATAATAATGGGCCGTGATAGCCATGATACTAAAGATCGGGTCTCGGCAGTTGGCCAAGTCATTGACTGCAGCCAGCTCTCTTTGGGTCTTTTGTAGCTTTTGGTGCTTAAATTTTATTTGATGGCTTTCTTTGTTGGTCGGCGGGACTGTGAGAAAAACCTCTGCGTAATCCCCAAAAATCTGTAGAAATTATTTTCACCTGATGTTGGATGGTCTCTGGTTGCTGTTGACTTGATTGATTTGTTTGCACAATCCGAGGAAAATATTAGCAGGAAGTTAACCCCTTGTCAAATCAATTTCTAATTACCCAATTTTAAGTTTCTTTCTCCGACTGTTTATACCCTTGCAGAGGGTATTATAATTTTGTCCAAAAGTGTGCAACGCAGTGAAGGAGACATCTCCGACCCTATAAAGTATATATATTCTTGATCAGGATCACCTCCTGAGTTGATATGAGCATGTCCGTCTGTCCGTCTGTCCGTCTGTCCGTCTGTCTGTCCGTCTGTCTGTCCGTCTGTCTGTTTCTACGCAAACTAGTCTCTCAGTTTTAAAGCTATCGTCTTGAAACTTTGCACACATCCTTCTTTCCTTTGCACGCAGTATATAAGACGGAACGGCCTGGATCGGCCGACTATATCCTATAGCTGCCATATAACTGATTGATCGGAAATGGTATAACTTTGGTGTTTTTAGAGTTAGAGAGTTCAAATTTGACATGAGAGCTATTTTTGGCAAAACATTACGTCATGCCAAATATCATAAGGATCGGCCGACTATATCCTATAGCTGCCATATAACTGAACGATCGGAAATGACCCAACTTTCGTGTTTTTGAATATAGAAAGCTGGAATTTAATACAGATTCTATTTTTGGTCAGTTGATCCAACCTATCAAATTTCATTAGGATCGGCCGACTATATCCCATAGCTGCCATATAACTGAACGATCGGAAATGGTATTTGGTAGAACTTTGGTATTTTTGAAGATAGAAGTTTGCGACTTCTTTTTGGAACAACTATATCCGATATTTGCGATATATATCCGGTTTTAACTGCAAGGGTATATCAACTTCGGCTCCGACCGAAGTTAGGTTTCCTTTCTTGTTTCATCTATTTTTATATATTTCTGCGGATTGATCTGCGAGTCCCCCGTGGTGCTCGTGTTTCTGTAATTACTTCCCACACATGGCGAAGATTGTAATTTATAATTGCCAATTTGGTTTTTTTGCTAATTGTTGGCCATTAGCGTTGTGACTGCCAGGGTCAGAAACAGGCCATCCCGGCCAAAATTAATAAAAAAAATGTCCAGTGGCAGTTGAAATCGTGTCTTCGATCAATTACAAAGTTGTGACTTAATGGTTACAGTTGGGTAACTTTTTATAGATTTTATGTGAAGGGCATTAGTTAGGTATATCCCTTAGGGCTAGGAGAACTATTTTGAGATTAATTTAGAGGCAAGATGTCTAAAATAGGTTCTTATTTCTGGTTAACAAATGGCTAACCAATACAAATCAACGCCAGATTAACCAAAAAACAAAAGCCATTTCCAGACAAACAAAAACTGAAACAGAAACACCGAAAAAAAGACTAAATGCTTTACAAATAGCAACAACACAGTGCTTGAGGGGGAAAGACTTTCACCTGGCGACGAACGATCACAAGAAAGAAGGAAAAAAATATATAAAAAATAAAAGGCAAGAAAAAAAAAACCAGCCAAGACAAAAAAGGCTGGCAGAAGCGGCCTTCGAGAGAGATGCCATGGACCCGAAACCAAAAAACCGAGCCCGACCTGCGATGGCCTCACCTGGCAACCTGACGGCAAGTGGGCAACCTGATCATGATCATGATCATGAGGAAGAAGACTGGCGCTGAAGAAGCCACCACCGCAGCCGTGCGTCAATAAACCTTTGACTCAATGAGGCTTACAGCTTATCACCACAGCACAAAAAAAAAATAAAAAATAAAAACATGTTCGGTGTGAACGATCAGCGATCGTGAGCTGGCAACTTTTACTTTCCATTCAAGAATGGAGGGAATCTCGGGATTAAGTCATTCGGCTCATCCCCACTTAGAGGCGTACTTAGAATTCTGCTTTCCCCAAAAGTCTTCCGACTCGTTACCCCCACGCAGGCACTTCGAGAGCAAAAGTGAAAACCAGGCTTTGGGCATTTGAAGCTGTCAAGCTCATGACAGGCCAGAGATCTTCGGGGCAGTCGGCGGACAGCTAGGGTCTGTCAGTCGTTTAGGATAATTGCTGGCCGTCTATAATCAAACCTCCACTAATGGGCCCAGCAGATACAGTTATTAGTAGGGGCCCTAGTTGGATGCAAGCGCACAAGCCACTTAAAGATATACAAATATTATCACAGCGCCAAGATTGGCAACTAGCCTGTCGGAAATTGCATAATTCGCAGCATGCGAACCATCAGAGATTAAAATCGGATAAATTAATAACAAACCCTAAATGAACCAACAGAGCCCCGGGGCCATCCCAAATGGTGTCACGTGGAATCATTAAGCCCCACACCGGAGTTGGGAAATGGGAGAAGCTGAGCTGGAAAAATTAGACCAAATGTGAAGTCAATCATCTCTGGTGGCCTGTAACCGCTTCCGTTTTCGGTTGATTAATAAAGTAAATAAAAATTAGACAAGCGTGTGCGTAATTCCCAAACAAGATTATGGATGGGTATGTAAGCCTAGGCAGAAGTGATTAATATGGGCTTAACATATTACATTTTTGGGCTTTTAATATTTAAAATTTTATGGGTTAGGGGTAAATATTTTTATACCCTTGCAGAGGGTATTATAATTTTGTCCAAAAGTGTGCAACGCAGTGAAGGAGACATCTCCGACCCTATAAAGTATATATATTCTTGATCAGGATCACCTCCTGAGTTGATATGAGCATGTCCGTCTGTCCGTCTGTCCGTCTGTCCGTCTGTCCGTCTGTCTGTCTGTCTGTCTGTCCGTTTCTACGCGAACTAGTCTCTCAGTTTTGAAGCTATCGTCTTGAAACTTTGCACACACCCTTCTTTTCTTTGCACGCAGTATATAAGTCGGAACGGCCCGGATCGGCCGACTATATCCTATAGCTGCCATATAACTGATTGATCGGAAATGGTATAACTTTGGTGTTTTTAGAGTTAGAGAGTTCAAATTTGACATGAGAGCTATTTTTGGCAAATTATTGTGACATGCCAAATTTCATAAGGATCGGCCGACTATATCTTATAGCTGCCATATAACTGAACGATCGGAAATGACCTAACTTTCGTGTTTTTGAAGATAGAAAGCTGAAACTTAATACAGATTCTATTATTGGCCAGTTGATCCGACCTACCAAATTTCATTAGGATCGGTCGACTATATCCTATAGCTGCCATATAACTGAACGATCGGAAATGGTACTTGGTAGAAATATCAACTTTCGTATTTTTGAAGATAGAAGTTTGGGACTTATTTTAGATTTTGTATTTTAGTAAATTGGTTTTATTATGATGTAATCATAAGGATCTGCCAACTATATCCGATGTTTGCGATATATATCCGGTTTTAACTGCAAGGGTATATAAACTTCGGCTCCGCCCGAAGTTAGCTTTCCTTTCTTGTTTATTTTGACCTTTAAAAAATGTAACTCAATCACATATTTTTGGAGCTATACATTAATTAGTATTAATGTCAGAGTGACACCATGGGGGCCGTCAAACTTTCAACGTGTTTTTCTCAAAACAGTGTTTCTAAAGTCGGTGATCTCAAATAGTCGATAGATGATCGGTCTTAAATTTTTAAACAATCTTCTTTATAAATTTATTTCTCAGGTAATGAGCAAAGAAAATTATTATGCAAAGAAATAATTACTATTTTTTGTCATTTTCAAGACAAATTTTACAGAAAAATTATGTTTATTTCTTTAATTTAATCCATTTTGTCTAAAATGAGAACTTTTTGAAAATTTTTCTTCAATTTACTTAATTTCTTTATTCTTTAAGAGAATCAATAAAATTTAAAAAAATTTAAAATCAAAAAAGATTTAGCAGTGGCGGATTTAACAGGTGGGCAAAGGCGCGCTTGCCCACTGGGCCCCCCGACGAAAGGCTTTCGTGCTGAAAGTAACACCTTCGATTTCTTTTCCACAAATCTGCATCAAAATCTGGGAACAAAATATTTTTAAGATTTTTTGTCAAATTTTCTGTCCCCTTCAAAATGTGCAAAATGCATGGGGAGCCCCATATGACCCACTGCGAAGGCCCTATCTTAGGAAATATTCATCCGATTCTTGAGCGGAATACTTTAAACGATTTGTGGATCGATTCTTCATAAATCTGCATCAAAATCTGGGAACAAAATATTTTTAAGATTTTTTGTCAAATTTTCTGGGCTGTCCCCTTCAAAATGTGCAAAATGCATGGGGAGCCCCCTATGACCCACTGCGTAGGCCATATCTTAGGAAATATTCATCCGATTCTTGAGCGGAATACTTTAAACGATTTGTGGATCGATTGTCCATAAATCTGCATCAAAATCTGGGAACAAAATATTTTAAAGATTTTTTGTCAAATTTTCTGGGCTGTCCTCTTCAAAATGTGCAGAATGCATGGGGAGCCCCATATGACCCACTGCGAAGGCCATATCTTAGGAAATATTCATCCGATTCTTGAACGGAATACCTTAAACGATTTGTGGATCGATTCTTCATAAATCTGCATCAAAATCTGGAAACAAAATATTTTTAAGATTTTTTGTCAAATTTTCTGGGCTGTCCCTTTCAAAATGTGCAAAATGCATGGGGAGCCCCCTATGACCCACTGCGAAGGCCATATCTTAGGAAATATTCATCCGATTCTTGAACGGAATACCTTAAACGATTTGTGGATCGATTGTCCATAAATCTGCATCAAAATCTGGGAACAAAATATTTTTAAGATTTTTTGTCAAATTTTCTGGGCTGTCCTCTTCAAAATGTGCAAAATGCATGGGGCCCACTCCGATCCGATTCTTGAGCGGAATACTTTAAACGATTTGTGGATCGATTCTTCATAAATCTGCATCAAAATCTGGGAACAAAATATTTTTAAGATTTTTTGTCAAATTTTCTGGGCTGTCCCCTTCAAAATGTGCAAAATGCATGGGGAGCCCCATATGACCCACTGCGAAGGCCCTATCTTAGGAAATATTCATCCGATTCTTGAGCGGAATACTTTAAACGATTTGTGGATCGATTGTCCATAAATCTGCATCAAAATCTGGGAACAAAATATTTTAAAGATTTTTTGTCAAATTTTCTGGGCTGTCCCCTTCAAAATGTGCAAAATGCATGGGGAGCCCCCTATGACCCACTGCGAAGGCCATATCTTAGGAAATATTCATCCGATTCTTGAACGGAATACCTTAAACGATTTGTGGATCGATTGTCCATAAATCTGCATCAAAATCTGGGAACAAAATATTTTTAAGATTTTTTGTCAAATTTTCTGGGCTGTCCTCTTCAAAATATGCAGAATGCATGGGGAGCCCCATATGACCCACTGCGAAGGCCATATCTTAGGAAATATTCATCCGGTTCTTGAACGGAATACCTTAAACGATTTGTGGATCGATTCTTCATAAATCTGCATCAAAATCTGGGAACAAAATATTTTAAAGATTTTTTGTCAAATTTTCTGGGCTGTCCCCTTCAAAATGTGCAAAATGCATGGGGAGCCCCCTATGACCCACTGCGTAGGCCATATCTTAGGAAATATTCATCCGATTCTTGAGCGGAATACTTTAAACGATTTGTGGATCGATTCTTCATAAATCTGCATCAAAATCTGGGAACAAAATATTTTAAAGATTTTTTGTCAAATTTTCTGGGCTGTACCCTTCAAAATACCCTTCAATGTTCCCTGAAAAAATTTTGCCCACTGGGCCTTTTTCCTTAAATCCGCCACTGGGATTTAGATATTTTAAGCCCAACAAAAACAAGATCACCTCACCGCAAGCACCTTTTTTTCGAGGACGTTACAACGTCCATAGAAGTGAAATTACAAAAATATTTTTAAATAATTGGCAAGCTATTATTTTCTTTAAAGAACTTGTTCCTTAAGTAAATAATAATTTTCTTGAAACGGATATTTTCGTAGGGGCTTATTAAAAATTCACTTTTTTGGCCAACAACCCAAAACTCAAGCTCTACCTACCGCATGTAAATAAAGGCTCTAACCAAGCAGCCCATAAGTATGCAACCATATATCTAAGCATTAACCCTTTAGTTCAGAAATAAAAACATCCTTCTCTTGAATACATAATTTTTTCTTTTATTTCTTTTTTTGTTGTAATTCTTGTAATTGTAATTGATTACATGTTTTCTTGATCTATACAATTAATATGCATCATTAATTTAAAATTGATATATACGTATATTCGTAATTATATGTAAGTTTATCATTTCTGTTTTGTTTTTTTGTTGATTTTAATTTAATACTAAACGTTAAATTCGAACACACTTTGTAAACAAGTTTTCAATTTGATTTGTTTTTGTTTTGTCAAAATTTATATTAAAACACAAACTAAAGTATCAGAGACAATTACGACGAGTGGCAGAGAAAACTTCTATAAATAATACGAAACAAGCTCTAAACGATCGCAGCTGTGTATATATAGGCTTAGGTATTGTAGTCCTAGGTGATATACATATATATATATATTCATCATATATTCAAAAGTCATGAGCAAAATTACAATCTGTGTACAGTGTTATCTAAACTTACAGGATTATAGGTTACAAACTTCGTTCAATGCCAGTCTAGATTCAGCTCCAGTTTCTACTAAACTGTTGCCGTTCCTCGATTCCTACTCGATTCTGTTCCGATACACAAAATTTATTTTGAATAAAACTGTATTTATTTTATTTTGTTGCTTTGATGCCGCCACTAATACGATATATAGACGTGGCGCTTTACTGCACTATTTCTTATTCGGTTGTGATATTGGCCATATTTATCCGTATAGTCTAATACGAGTTATAGTTAGCTGAATATGTGTTTCCTTTAAATTATGACATGTATTCGGAGTGGCTCACTCTCTGCTCGCTAGTGTGATGTATGACGTTGGCAATCAAAATCCAGACCTCCAGATCCTACAAACTTACGAGTACAATTACAGTTTAGATATACAGATACATTTCGGTTTCGCGTATGTAACTAATAACAGCCTTGATACTGTTGCAAAAGACATGGAAGCTGTATGAAATTGTTACAGTTTTCGGGCAGTAGACCCATAAATATGTCCTATATCTTTGAGTGGGTGTGGTGAGTGTCAGGGGATGCGTTGGGTGAGTCGTTACAAATGTTGTCTACAACTATGTTTAGTATATGCCATATCTAATAGACTACATCTAGGTTATCTTGTTCCTTTGAGCTGGCTTCCCTATCTCGTTTATCATTTATCATTTATCGTTTATGGGGATTTATCCTTGAAGGTTTGTTCAGGCTGAATACAGTGTTCAGTGTGTGGAGGACGACTTGCAACACCTTGGTAGTTAAAGGGAGGAGAATACTTTTCGGGAAAGGTTGGTTTCTGGGGGGGGGGAATACAAAGCGAATACCGTTGGCTATGGCAGTAGCGAAATAAAATAGGTAGTTCAGGGCAACTGAAGCTGAAGAATACTGCAAAGTGCTGCAAGGATGAAAACTCAGTGGCTGGACGCATGGACTCCCGGGAGCTGGAGCCAGTGGGAGGTCAACAGCAATGCGCTCGCATTCAAATACCAATACACACACATCTATAATATATATCCTAGATATCTTATATATAACAATTACTACACAACTAGGTGAGCGGGGGAGAGAAACGTGGGCGAGGCCTCCTTTTGCCTACTGCTGTCCATCCATCTTCCTGTCCTTCTTGGCATGCTCCGCTTGCTGCTGCTCCTCCGCCTCCGCCGCCGTCTCTGCTCCGGCCCGCTCCTTGACATCAGCGCAGTGCTGTGGACGCCACTTCTAGCTCCAGAAGTCCATCATGTTGACCAGCTTGCACTTCTTGAGCTCCAGCTTGGTGGGCCTTGCCCGGAGTCAAGCTCGCCCGAAGATGGCTCTGTCGGAGACATCGCCGGTGGACTGCGAGTGCGACATGACGGTGGCTCCCGACGACGACTGCTGCTGCTGCCCGCCGCCTGCCCCGCCGTGGTGGTGATGGTGGTGCGTGGCGGTGGCGATGGTGGCCGTTGATGCGTTGTGGTGCGTCACGTTGTGGTGGTTGTGCGCCAGGGTCGAGCTGCCGTACTTGGAGGACACTCCGCTGCGGTTCAGGTGCTTCCTAGCCGCCGAGGAGACGTACTGCAGGGAGTACTGCTGCACGGACTCCAGGTCCGAGACGCTGGATGTGATCTTCGAGCGCACCGCCACCTTCTGCATGCTGTTGTACTTGTCGCTGGCACTCAGCTTGATGTCCGGCAGGTGTCCGTTCGACTGGGCGTGGCCGTGGGTGTGGCTCTGGGACTGCAGCTGCGCCTGCTGCTGCCTCGACTTGGTCGTGGTGGCAATCGCCGCATTGTGCACTGCTGTGGTGCTGGTTATCGAGGCCACCACGGGCCCACCACCGACGACATGGCCAGTGCCGCTGCCCGGCGAGATGTCCGCGAAATTGTAGCAGGAGGACTTCTGGGAGACGCTGTTCAGGCCGGAGCTGGAGGAGCTGTTCGACATGCGGCAGCTGCGATGGCGACTGGAGGAGGAGGGCTGCAGAAACTCGTGGTGGGCCGCCTCATCCGGCGTCATCCGCTCCGCGGGATCCCACTCGAGACAGCGCTGCAGGAAGTCGATGAAGTAGCGGTCCTGGCAGTGCAGGATCTGGGACAGCGACTTGCTGCCCGGCGCTCGCTTCCTGCCCTTGGTGTTGGTGATGCAGCGCGGAGCATCCCGGGAGTCGAAGAAGAGACGGCGCCTCCTGGCCACCGAGATGAGCACCTTGGGCGGCAGGCCCAGCACCTCCATGATGCAGGCCAGCTGCTCCACCTCGTTCTCGCCGGGGAAGAGGGGAAAGCCCGTGTAGAGCTCGGCAAGGATGCAGCCTGAAAGTAGAGGTTGACACGTAATTAGTATTGATTTCTGGCCGAGACCGATGCAGTAGTTTTCGGGGCAGCCTGACAGGCGCATTGACCTTGACTTTGTGTCGGCCACAGCATGAGAGCCCCCCCTCTATGGCTGCTGGATTATTTATTTGCTACTGCACTTTCTAATGGTTTTGGAATGGGTGCTGACTCAGTGGCGGATGACACAGAATCCCTTCCTTTGACTGACAATTTCAATTATTTTCTACAATTTCTGGCTAGTCATTACATGTTCTGGCAGTTGCAGTAAATGGAATAGTTTATAGTAGATTAGATATCCAAGTAATCCCTGAACAACTTCTATCTCTTCTATCGGCAAGTCTACTTAGCCTGTTTCTGGGCGTTTACCTTTCCTTGTGACCTCATTTACCTAATGAAGCTCGAAGCAATCAAGCCGGCACATATCTATTACAGCCGCCACTCTACCGAGGGGCACAGAGTCGAGAGCTCACATCATTCAACACGTAACCCATTTCCAGCCCCGCTGCTGCTCAGAGTTTGCTCGCTGCACAGTAACTCAAATAAGTAGCCTCCCACGGCACGAAGAAGCCCAAGACAGGGGATAAAAATAAACTGGGCTGGCCTTTATTAGTAGAACCTGCCGTGCCTCCCACACGTCCGTGCGCACATTTAATGAGTCCTTTGTTGTGGAAGGAGACCACGATACTTTGCTAGCTTTGCTTTTGCTGACCGGACGTGGTTGTGGTCGGAAATGGGCGCTAAAAGGATGTGCCCGGCGGAACGGCAGGGAGGTCCTGGCCAGGTTGGGCTCGGGGGCTGGCAGAATTATTGTATACATAAACTTTGAGTGGGGCGGCACTTGTTGAGTGCTCCCTCACCTCCGGCACCTTCATCGATATCTCATTGTTCGGTCGGACGGAGGAGGTCCTCGGCTCGGCCCCGGTTGCCTGTTGCTGTTAATTGGCCTAGTGCGTGTTCTTACACTCGGCTGGGCTTTTATGTTCGGCTAAAGTGGAAAGCCATCAGTTAAAGGAAGTAATATTGAGGAACAAGTTAGGAGTCAGTATTGAGGTAGAACAGCTGGGACTTTTGCTTAAAAGATACATATATCTTGGTAGAATAACCTAATATATATTCAGACCACTCTGCAATTTCCCTCAGTGCTTCTGGTGTTTCACAAAAACCCACAGTCCCGCCCCTCCACAGTGTTTAATATTTAATCCTTTCCATCAGGCTCTGAAGGATATATGCGAGTGTGTGAGGCCAAACGTGTGTGCGGAATAAATTGCTTGCCAAATGCAGGCCAAACATTTAAAATTTCATTGCAGCCGATACACGTTTTCCAGACCACTCGGGACCGGGATACCGAGTGAATGCTTTTAATTAAAAGTGAACAAGGACACTCACCCAAGCTCCACATGTCGATGGCGGTGCCGTATTGTAGTCCGAGAATCACCTCCGGGGAGCGATAGAACCTCGACTGGATGTACGTATAGATTTTGCGGTCCACGTAGCACGAGCTGCCAAAGTCGATGACTTTGATCGAGCTGCTGCCTCGCTGTTTGAGCAAGATATTTTCCTGAAATTTAAACACTATAACTACCATTATTTAAAGAGAGAGGGCACTGCACTTACTGGCTTGAGATCACAGTGAATGATGTTTTCCTTGTAGAGCAGACGCAGGCACTTCACAATCGAGTTGCAGAAGCGCCGGATGAGACTCATGCTGAACCCATTGTAGTTGTTCTTTTTTATCAGCTCGTACAGGTTCAGGCTGCAAGTGAGAAGAAGACAGGAGGGGCGTGTTAGTGGAGTCGTTTCAAGTGTGACTAACATGAGTCAGCGGCCCATCCAAAATCCCCACCCAAAAAGCTAACAAAACAAGAGACACACTGTCGCAAAAAAACGGAGAACAGAACAAGGAGTCGCAGTAGTAACATGCATTGAATTAATTCCCATTGCATGTCGGGCCCAAATTTGGGCTTACTAGATAACGTTCGTCAGCAACAATATCGACAATGTCGGAGCAGTCGGCAGACAAGCTGAAATGGTGGCAAATCGAGCAGAAAAGAGCTGCCAAATGATAGTTCTCGACAGTGGGACGAAGGAAGAGATTTTACAAGATATTTAAAGAAGACTTATAAAAGATATAATTGATATAAAAACTAAAAGATACTCTTGTCTATTAGTTGTGGTTTATTTGAAAAAACTATTTATTTGATAGCCTATACCCTGCACCACTGTGCCACCCACCTCCCTGGGTGGCCATAATGTCGCCTGTTTGTCAACCCCTTGGCTGTTTTTGTTTACATTGCCATTTTTGTACCGTGTTTTGCATTCGCAGTTTGGCGATTGCCGGCGATTAATTAACTGATAACGAAGGAGCTCCATCTCTACCTCTATCTCTAGCTCCCTCAATGTCAATGCAACCACTAAACAAAGACCCAAACTCTTAATATACTCACTCTCTATGATTTATTATCGAGACAAAAGTTTGGTCAATGGTGGTTGCCAGATGACTGATGGCCTTTCCTGGCCAGCCCCGGGGACCAGGATATTAGTCTTTCAATCTCTCCTCCCGAGATTTCCTCTCGCTGATCCGAATATATTGGAGCTTCCTTCGATATGAGGATTCTATCAATAACTGAGTGACATGTTTGACCTACATACTCGTTTATTACTCGTCTGAGTATGAGGGAGCTGTAGATTACTGAAAGCAATATCTGCTGCTGACATGAAAGGACGTCGTGTGGGCTGAAGGCTAGAGCTCTTAAAGCCCAGTAATCGTTTCTAGCCATGTTTTACAACTTGTTCAAGCCGTAATCCAATTTAAATTTATGTCAGCTCGCTAAAAACCCCAATCCGAGCTGCTAAGAGCGCCCAGAAGCGCGTTAAGCAGAGTGGCAAGGCCACAAAGCCGCATAATGGCATGGATGACTGTCAAATTGCAGAGCAACACTCTGGCCTGGCCGGAGGCAGGCACCTCCCCGCCGCAAAGGTCAGGAGGCTTTTAATTTGAAAACTTTCGCATTGCAGCGACCCCTGGCAGACCTTTAAGTCTGCGAGGCTTAAAGAATCCGACGGCTATTGATTTTATGGCCACCCGAAACGGATGGCAGACGAGTCTATAACAAACCAATAAGAAAATCATCAAAATGTCATAATTTCAATCGGCGAATCGGGACAATACATGCATCCTCCTGGCAGGCAGATCCTTACGCCAAGTCGGCTATATATGCTGTCAAGCCTGTCTGTTATAACTGCATTATGACATGCCACACAGTCAATGTCACAAGTCCGTGAACTTGAAAATAGTTTGCCTCCGCCCGAGGAACAACTGAGGCGTCTTTTTTTCCGTTTTCCGATTTCCGTTTTCAGTTTTCCTGTTTAGCCATTTTTTGTGCCAAAAATTCCTCTGGTAATTTGATTGATTCGCCCCTGCGCCCCTGCGTTGCAAAGCAACATGCAACTGTAACGAGCCACTAATGCCTGCATTTAGCCCACAAATGGAGCAAAGAAATGCCGAAACGAGACAGTGCCGCGCCGGGTGAAAGTGAAATAAACAAAAAGCTGGGAAAACAAATAACAAACAACGCCCCCAGTAAACAATAAACACACAGATAGCTTTGAAGGTCTGGCCTAATCAGATGGACCTTAGGACAGTCAGGCTAGTTATTCTAAATATAGAATAATTTATTCAAGCTCTGATACCCTCTGATTGGCCACCAAACTCTAAAAAATATACTTGTCTTCGGGCAGGGAAGTGTGCCACTTTCCTGAGCGGGATGGCAGAGCCAACTTTTTCGGGGCTTTCGCTCGACTTTCAGCATAAATTTGAAATTGGTTTCCCGACTGCCTGGCATGAGATTGACATGAGAGTGACTACCTGTGTGTTGTCTGAATTTGCAAAGCAAATCGGGAGGAGGAATTAATTTCGTCCTCCAGCTATCGATCGGGTAGGTAACTCGATTAAATATTAATGCTCCTCTGCGAAAGCAGATTTCTATTTAGCATTATCCCCAGTTAATTTCCCCTTAAACATCCATAAATATTCAACGTTAAGCCGCTTAACCAAAGAGCTGCCTTTGAATAAATGATGCTGTCCCCGGCTGGGACATTGGGGACCTTGGTTGCCAGGACTCGAGCTCAAGGTCGGCCCGCAATATTCCAACAGAATATCTCTCGCTGCCATTCGTTGTGTGGCATTTTAATTAGTCGGCGGGCCTACTACCCACCACCAGTACCGAAAATAATCACAAAAATGCCAAAAAATACATATACTTTTGCTGGTTAAGCTTCAGAAAGCGAGGGGGACATCACCTTTTCGCAGATGATAAATGACTTGGCCTTGGCCATGTCAACTGGCTTTCATCCTCCCCCTCACCACGCCCAGGAGAAAACAAACTTAATGCTCGGGAAATGTCAATTAGCAGTAATTACTGTGCCATGGCACGGCATAATAATAACCTACATCAACATCAGCAGAACATCAGCCGAGCAGCTGACACAGACACTCGACTGTTTATTCTCCTGGCAACTCAATCCCTAACTCTTCGTCCTTGCCGCCGGCCCCCTAACTGCAGTTTACACGCTCTGGCTGCGGAAATTAATTACAAAAAAAAATAAAACAAACTTGCAGGACACGGCTTTGCTCATTTGCATGACCACGCCCAGTGGGCACGCACCAGAGCACTCTGCATGTTGCACTTTAATTAAAAATAATTCCTTTGCCTCTCACATATGAGAGAAAAATGGACGGAATGCTGGCGACATCCTGTCAAATACTCGGAGCACTCCCCGGCTGTCGAAGGACATGTCAGGAATAGTCAATTACATGGCCGCTGACAGCAAGCAATTGAGTTTGTGGGTCATTAATAGCTCATATATTTTATTAATAATAATAAAGAATAACGAGCTCTCTTTTATTAGAAATAATTCTTAAATGCTTCTCCATCATCTCATGGCATCTCGTTAAATTTAAAAATTAATTCCGCAGCGATTATCGCCAACTTGATCTCGTTATGGGCCATAAAAATTGAAATTAAATCATGACATATTGCTGAGCCAAAAGTCGCGGCTGTAGGGGATGTACTAGGTCAGAAGACAGTGGTGACATTGGAGAGGCGGACTAGGCGGACTGGGGGGGTAGGCGAATAATTCGCCTGTGTTGCCCTCCGGGGCGGCATTAAGCTGAAATTTATGTGCTTGGCTCTGGCACTGGCAGGCTGGCACTGGCAGACGCACACAACACACCCGCAGATGGATAGCAGGGAGCCTGCTCGTTGGCCAGAAAGGAGCAGCGTCATCGCCAATGGGCCACAATATGCCGCATACGCCCTCGGGTGGCTGTCTATGGCACTTTGGCAGCTACCATTTTGTCGCCGTCGCTGTGAATTATGTGGCTCATAATGCTAAAACAAGACCAAGAAACAGCCACCTGCCAGGGTCGAATGTGGAGAGCCATCCACCATGTGTGGGGGTGTGCGAAAATGTGTCACTTGGCGTCAATTTAGTTCCGCCCATCTCCGACCTTTTTGCGGAATGTAGTCCTTGAATGGGACGGCCGGCTGTTGTGCGAGGTGTAATAAGTGTGTCACTTTGGAGACTAGGATTAGGTTTCATATTGGTGGTGGGTTCTGAGGTCAGTTTGCTAATTAGCTAATCAGATTGTGGCTGTCCCAACAGCACACAGTTTCTCATTAAACCTAAAGGTATTAGGTTATATCCTGCAACCCATTTCCATGGTCTATAACTCGCTAATCCTATCAAGAAAATTAAATCTACATCTCTCTGGTTCGGCGTGGCGCACTCTTTCCATGAAAATTAAATTGCGTGCACGTAGATTTAATTACATAAACTTGCCCCACAATTTGTTTACTGGTTCACAACAAACTTTAAAAACTTGCCGCCGAGTTGTCAATGCGGTTGTTGTCACCCTTTCCCTCCCCCTGGTCACTTCCAGGGGCGAAACTTTTCCCGCTGCAGGAAAAACTACTTCTTCAGGGAAACAAAAAAACACTAAGTGCGCTCCAAGCACTCCAAGCAACAGAAACGGAAAACAATTTTGCGGCTAATTAGTCGCAGAGTAAATAATTAATTAACTTTGGGTATCTGCTCCAGTTGGGGCCACTAAGCCCTTCAATTTGTTTGTCTGGAAATCAGAATCCGGAAGGAGGCGGAAAAGCAGGCCTCCTCTGGTGGCGTGCCACTAACCCATTTGAATTTTAGAAGCCCGAAATCAGTGCTCAAAAATGTCAACTCGCAAAAATGTACTACGCTTCTTAGGCTTCCTCTGCAATTAAGACAAATTAGTCGGAAATGTCAGGCTCACTGCTGTTGAAGACGGGCTGGTGGGTAGAAGACCGCCTTCGACCTTCGGCGTTCGCTTTCTTCAAGTTTGGCACGCCGGTGCATCGCGTGCCGCCCGTGTACTTCTTTGGGATTTATTTTTACCATATTTGCGTTGCCTGCTGTCTAAACTTTGACATATGCAGTCAGGTCTCGGCCTCCCTCCTGAAACATCAACACCTGCGATGGCCAGGGGCAGGCAACTGATTCTCCCTTCTGCCAATCAATTAGATTTCCGCTTACACACCTAGACAACAGGTACTCCCTGGCTGGTCTGGCTGGTATGAGCAATGTGGGCGTGGCAATGCATTTAGCCAAGCCTGCCACTAGGCCACACAACATTCAACATTTAAATTGAAATTGATGGCCAAGCGGCGTTTGCGGTTCGTTGTTGATTTCGATAGTCTGTCAGTCTATTTGCGCTTTTCAAGCTGAGCCAGGAATTAAATACAAATTTATAACATTTCCCAGGATAACTGGCAAATAAAAACTAATAGGTGGAATTATAGAAACCACTTAAAGGCATTTTGTTAGCCAGACCCGATTTATGGGCTTATGAAATCACAAAACCAAAGACATATGATACCCAGCTCACACCCTCCGATGAAATCGGAAAACGCACATAGTTGCGGGCCAAGTTTCCACATCGCAATGCGTGCTAGGTACTTGGAACATGGAAATTAATTTTGGCCAAAATTTTATGGACAACTGGCACGCAACTAAAGTTTGCCGGCAGAATAATTGGCAGAATGTTAATAGAAATGCGAGTTATACGCGCTTTTAATTGAAGACGGTAACAGTTGGCTCCACCTTCCCCGCCATTTTCCCAAACAAGTCGGCCATAAAATGCTCCACTATTGACGTCACAAGGACTATGGGGAGTTACTCACCTCATCAGCTCAAAGGTGATGCACAAGTGCTTGCGGAAAAAGGCATAGTCCAGCATATGTATGACGTTGTGAGATCCATCCGCATCCTTGTCCCGCAGCTCGTCCAGGATATTCAGCTCCTCGACGGCCTGGTTGAGAAAGCGCTTCTTGTTCCGGATTATCTTGATGGCCACATGGGTGTTGGTCTTGTGGTCCAGGGCCCGGATCACCTGGCCGAAGCTGCCTTTGCCAATCACCTCCAGAATCTCATACCGAAAGGCTATATGATCGTGCTCGATCTGAAAGGGTTTTTATTTAGAATATATACTTCTTTTTAGAGGATTTTAGTATTTACGATCTTGTAGTTGCCATTATCATCGTCATAGCCCAGGTTTGTGGTATTGGCTGTGGGGGCGGGTTTGTTGTAGTTCTTGCTGGCATGCTGGCCAAAGTACCAGACCTCCTTGTAGACCTTCAGCTCCTCGAACTCCAAGTCTGTTAGGTAGTTACGGAATTTTTTCACGAGTTCTAAGGTAAGAATAGATTAGAAAAATATATATAGATTAGAATTATGAAATAATCTTTTAAATAAGTGACTACTGCCTTAATCTAAAAGCTCTTCCAATTAAAACAAACCCTTCCAGTTCTGAACTAACTAAGAGGTAATTCAAAATTCCCCCATGTGGCAACTGGCACTCTGAAAACCTATTGACCCTGACCTCAATGCCATTTCGTTTCAACATTTTATATAAAATTAATTAGAAGCTGAGGGATGATGGAGAGTGGCGCCGAATGCCTGGAGGATGTGGCCAACTAATTGGCATTGGACTGCAGCGAGGCAAACCAAAAACGCACAAAGCATCGCCTCTCAATCCCATGGTTGGGACCTTAACCCTCTAAGGTTGGAATTGAAATAAAAGATGCTATTAGCAACTATCCTATGGTATTAGAGGGAGAAGATATATCCTACTCTATCTTCTAATATCTTAACCCTTTTAGTTTCTAATCACTTTAACTGCATCCTAGGGTTAACTCCACTTACCAGATGGCGTCATGGGGGTGTTGCATTTTAGCTCAGCACTGCCCGTGCTGCTGGCCGAGTTGCCGGAGCTGCCACTGCTGCTGTTGGACTTTGTGGAGGAGCCCCGCTCGTTGCCCCCATTGCTGCTACTGTTGGTGGTCGATGAGGAGACTGGAGACCCGATGTTGTTGTTGTTGTTGTTGTTGTGACCGCTGTTGGGGTTGCCGTTGCCGTTGACGTTCAGGGACGTGCCATTGGACGAGGTCTCGTTGACGGCCACATGATTGTTGTGTCCGTCGAGGCGCCTGGAGCCATTGCAGAGCTGTGGCAAATCCAGTCGAGAGCCCGAGAGGCGAGCATCCCGGCGCAGCTTGTCGTTGTCCAGCTGAATCTGAAATGCAAAGTCGAGATGTTAATTGGGTTTCCAACTGGCCGGTGAGGGAAATTGTTGCATACTCTGGGGCCGTCGGGGCTACGCTTGCAGCCCCAGTATTTGGTTCGCAAGAAGTAGCGCAGTTTACGGCTGAGTTTCTTGCGGGAGAAATGCTTTGGAATCTTTTTCCATTTCATTTTTGAGAAATAAACTTGCTCTTCAAATATTATAGTCTTTTAACAGTGGTTCCTCTTCAACTAGGTATTTTTTCTTTTACGAAAAATATAAATGTCTTTCTATTTTAAAATTGTATTTCAATTTGAAAGGATAGAGGTCTTGAATTGATTTCAAATCAAAAGGCAAGCCAACTTGTGTAGTTTTCCTAAAGCTTACTTGGGTTTTGTATCGACCCTTGACTTACCGGCATTTCACATCGATCCAACATCGTGTCGGCTTCACTGTCCTGATGGTCTTATCCAAAGAAGGAAAATGAATCCTCGAAGAACTAAAGTCCTGTCACCCTGAGCTGAGTGGTATTTCCTCTTCGGGCCGCAAAAATTATTGATAACTTTCAGGGTAATATGTCTTTGGAGCGCACATTTGCATTTGTTTTGGTTGTTGGGGCCAACTGCAAAAGAGTTTAAAAAAAAAAAAACAAAACAAAGGTAAGAATACATGAAAAGTGTTGGCGTCTTTAAACCCTTGACTTTTAACCCTTCAAGCGGTAGGTAGGTAACTAACGCCCCAAGTCAGAGCCACAAAGTAAAACAAAGTCAAAGAAATATAATAATCGTAAATAATACAGTTCGAATCAGCAGCAGCAGCAGCGGGCATTGCGCATTCCAAGTGCACACCATAAATAAAGGGGAACTCCACCATTCTATTATATATCGGGGCCCAGGCCATAACTAACTGAGCCAACCGTCAGTCCGTCAGCGACAGTTAGCAGTTTTCATTGTCAGGCCGGGCGGAGGGCGACGACAAGCCCAGCGGTCTCATCAAAGGCCCCCAAAAAACTTTATTCATATTTTCTCTACGAGTCGTAAGGGTCGTAAAGAACCCCCGAAAAGCGGCAACCGGAAAACCCAGCCCACTCGATTCCGGGCAGTAACTGCAACGGCCTTTTTGGCTGACAAGCATAAAAGTTGGAAACCAAAGTCATGGCCAATTATTAGCCTTTTTTTTTCTGGCGCTGACTTGTGCACTCTACTTGGCCATAATAATCCTAACCCTTTCCGGCAGGCTCAGGCCCAGGCACCCCTTTCATCCCCTTTTTCTCATAAATAGATATTCGACAGTTTATCGAAATAAACATGTTCTCATTGGTATAGACTGGGTGGTTAAAGCCACTTCTACTGCAAGCAGGTTACCGAAAATTTCAAGGCACCCTAGACAGCTGTAACCACTTGTCTATTTCCTACTTAACTTAACCATTTTCTTCTCTACTATTATTTTCTTTAACTTGGCTGTCGCGACTCTCAGTCAAAATTTATTGGCTTTTAAAACTTTTCTGTCATAAAACTATAATTTACAGCATTCGTTTCTTCATCAAAGTGACAGTTGCTCTGGTGGGGAGTCCCGGCAGTGGGAGTGAAGCTTGAGGATTTTCCTGAGCCTCGCCATATATCATGGAGTGTTTCGCTGTTGTCTGCTTGTTTGGGTCGTTAGCTCTCGACTGAACTCTGCCTTTCTTGGTGGAATAACTGATCGGAGGGGTCTCGGGCCAACAGCTTACTCAGCCAGCCAGTCAGCCAGTCGGCGAGTCGGCGAGTCAGGCTGTCTGTCATTAAATGCACTTTTCGGGTTGCCATTTTCCATCTACTTCAGTTTCGCAATTCGGGTAGAAAGCCACGGAAAGTGACTCCGAGACCCAGCAGCAGACAGGCCGAGTTTCACATTTGATAAGCGAAAGTTTTTTGAACCCACCTCGTAGCTCGGACCTAAGCTCGCGGCAAGGTTGGACCAAAGACCATTGAAAAGGTGTCGCCGCTGACGGCCATAAGTCCGTCCAGAAAGCATTGTTCTCACCGATTTAAATGACAAATCAATTGAAACTCTAGCGATCGACCGTCAATTGTAAGCAATTCCAACAATTACACGCCTTGGCAATCGAACCATTTATTGATATTTTCAGTGATTTTCAGTAAAGAAACCCCAAGTTCATTGGGGATCGTTTGTCATTGCTACATTGACACCCACCTAGTGTATCTGCAATTTCTATTTGTAGTGACACTGAGACTCGCCTGTCAGAGCCAAGGCTGTGTTTTTGGCGAAGACGATGTCTGGGTCGAGGTGGCATTGAGAAGCCAAATCGGGCTTTGATTTGAGAAACCTCCAAACAACAGATCGGTATCATGTCGCACTTCATATTGATCATGAACGGATGAAACGATTCCGCCAAGACGGGGTTGTATCTCTAGAGTCTAGAGACCAGGGACTATATAAAATGAAAGTTAACCCCCGCTTAACCCTGATGCCATTGCATAATCCAATTTCGGGTCCGGGCAGATAATTTCGCCTTTGATGAGCACCATGAGCACCATAAAAGTTTAATTTAAAACAAAATATTAAGCCATTAGTTTCGGACGAGAGGAAGATTGGCCACTCAAAGTAATTGAGTTGCACTAAGCTGGCTGTCTCCGAAATTAACAATCAACTTTGGCGGCAATAAAAGTGTCGAGAAATTTATGAGAATAATTTGTCAATTTATTATGGCCGAGTATTGTGACAAGTGCGGGAAAATTGTTTCAATCAAAAGAGCCGAACAGAGTCGCCAGACTTGCTCCTGCACTTATCGAGTGCATGTCGCTTTTTGGGCAGTCGAGCAGGCTTTCTTGATTTGATTGTTTTATGTTTAATAAATGTCAATTGTGCTTCTCTTTTCGGCACCGAGACAAACAAACATAAACACAAACAACAAAACGTGACATTTGGTTGTTGACTTTTGACACTTGCAATCAGTTTTGGGCGAGATTCATACCCGAAATGTTGACTCAACAGATCTTCCTTCCAGTGAGGCACTGAGCCAACCTTCGATAGCAGTTGCAAAATGTCAGGCCAAGCCAGAGGAGTGCTGCCATTTGGTGGCCAGAAGAAGACTCCAAGTTTGGACAGTCTCTGTTAAATTCCAGAGATTCTCATAGAGACCTGAACGGCCTTAACGTGTCAATAGGCTGTCCAGAATCGTGTTGGGCAATTCAACTCATTGTCTTGTATGATTTATTGAAATGTTCTCTTTGGCTTCGAGTCTTGACGCCTCAAGTGTCCGCTTATGAATATAAATCAGAAATCCTACATTACACATATTCCTCGATTATGATCGGATCATGTCACGTCTAGGGCTTTTTATTTTATTGACTTACAGCCATTGTTCAATCAGATTTTATTGATTTGTTTGTCTTCAACCCAAAACTGCCAAAAATTTCTGACACTTTGAAGTTTTCGGGTCGAAGAACACATTAGAGGCCTTTGATCTTTGCTTCCCATGAATCGATCTTTAAATAAAAAGTTTATATAAAAGAGTGCATGTTTGGATTGAATTTTTCAAGAAATTAGGAATGGCAACTTCGATTCCACACGTGACCCCAATGGGCTCTACTCCATTTAATTATATGGTTCAGCAACAGGAAAATAAAGCATCATTTGTCAACCGGCGGATTTTCGGTTAACTATTACCTCGCGTGGCCCAGAAAGCAGCTAGCCCACGAAAATAGAAAATGTATGCGAAATGGGCGCCGGTCCCAGCTGGGCTGGCTAGGCGACATGCCACTGGCATTTTGTTCATTTTATTTGGCCCAGACATGAAACATAAGTGTATTTCATTTAGCTTCCATTATTGCGATTATTTTGGTGCGCGAAAGCAGGCCACAAGTTGCATGCCACCTAATTCGGTTAGCCAACTACATAGATGCACGGCCTCATAAACCATTGACCCACTAACCCCCGCCCAAAGTAATGACCTCAGGGCGTAAACTGTCAACAAATCCCATATAGATTCCGACCTGGGGACCGGAAGTAGTCGACGGGCTGGCTGGTGGGTCACTAGAGGGGAACCACCGAGAGGTCAGTTCCATAAAGTTCGGTGTGGCATGCTCGGGTTGGCCAAGGCCGACTGGTGTTTGAAAATAATCCCCACAATGCTGCTTAATATTAATTGAAGCTTAATGGGAAGTGTTTACTTAAAATGAGATTTTTGTAGAAAAGGTACTACTATATGGAAGTAAAGTATTCATTCCATGCCACAAGAACCCTCTCAGTTTTTAAAACCATACAACAGATGTCACAACGCCGAGGTGGCTAGGTGTGCGGCTGACATATAAACCCTAATACCGCAACTACCAAGTACCTATAGAAAAGCTGTGGTCTAGAGCCCCCTAGTGCCCCCCACTGTGCTGGTCAATGCACCATTTAAATGGGAAAAAGCTCCCCAGCCGTAACCTCTGGCTTAGGGATAGGGACAAAACAATAACCATTTTAATAACTTCCGTTCTAAAAACACTCTTGAGCGGCCATCGAATGTTTTGGCATCGCTTCAGGTTGCACAAAGACAATGGAAGGTATTTGGGGGGCTGGGCGCCATAACAAGTGCAGCGGGGCTAACGGATTTTATTGGCCGTGTTTTTTCCAGCAGGGGAGCAGCATTATGCCTTATTGAACCCCACCGTATTGAACAAAAACCAAACACAACGGGCCATGATTCGAATCGCGCAATCACTGAAAGTGCCAACTGCCCGTTTTGGGTGGAACTAAGTGGAGTGGATTGGAGTGGATTCGAGTGGAGTGGCGTGGAGTTGTCGCTTTTGTTGTCGGAAAATGACAATTAGCCGTGTGTTTTCCTCCATTTCTACCGGCCTGCTCATTTGACAGTTGACTGCATTTCTCCAAACCCACAAATGCAAATGGGCAGTAAAATAAAAATGAAAACTGAATCACAAAGCACTGCAACTGCCATAGAAATAAAGATACATTTCATGTTGATTTTCGTAGCTCGTCGCGGAAGTCTTGGCATTCGAATGTAATTCCAGATTGAGTAATAAACATCCAAGTATTTGTATTCGTATCTCTCGGATGCAGTCAACAACAGCTGCGAGCGGATTGCAGATTTTGGTTAATAGGTCTGTCGACGTTGGGTTGGAGATGGAAAATGCAGGAAGCGAACTGAAACTGTTACAATCTCCATCGAAATTAGCCACGGGGGATTATTTGTTTTAAA